CATTTATGCAATTAGGATTAGAAGTTTTGATTTCCCATTAAAATTCCATCTCCCCAAAAATAATTACCGAACTTGAATTCAAATATTCATATATAAGGTTGCGGGGCAAAACCCTAATTCCATTTTGACAAAAGTCATAACTTTTCGAAAATGAATCTTTTTTATGACGGATTTGATATCTGCGATTTCAATTTGATAAAATTTTCAACTTTAACAAGTTGTATTACTAAATAAAGTGAAATTGTTTAGCTTCGTTTTCTCTGTTTTTGCGTGGATAAATATTACAGTATATAAAAATTAAATATTAATTATAATTTCATTACCGCTTAGACAACTTAGACAAGTTTCGAACATAATTCTATATAATGAATAATTTAAGACGAAATATTAAGTGAAAGTCTCAAATTATACCAAGGGATTTTCGGATGTATTAAATGTACCAAGGAAAATTATATTTTGAGGAATTAATTGAAAATCTCAAGGATTTTGATTGGTCTTGCCACCCATCAAAAACTTTTTCGATTTTGACATTACAAAATAGGAAAATGGAGTTGTAGCAAAGATTACGTTAAATTCGTATATCAACATGTAGTACACGATTTTTGAGGATTTATACTTTACAGTGTTTATTTCCAAATTTTAGTAAGTCTGAAGAAAATTTGACCAGTTAAGATAAAAATTAAGAAATGTTTAACATAAAAACTTCGTTAGCTTCGTTGGTAAATTCGTCTATTATTATGTAACATGGTTTGATATATATACAGTACATAGCTGACTATTCTCATCGAACTAATATTTAAGACAATCCTAAAAGATGACATCTTAAATAAATGTGTATAATATAAATCGTAATGATCGTAAATGACCTTTAAATTTGTTAAAAAAAATATATATATATACTTAGCAACTACAATATTTTATGTAAACCCAATACCATTTAAGAGTTCTTTTGCGTGCAACTAGTATAAAATTTATAAATGACAAGTCTTTATACCGAAAATTTAAAAAATTTTAAAATTATACATCTCATCAATTAAAGATTTACAATATTATTAACCTTCAGACACTTTCAACTTTAGATAGTGGAATTTATGTTTCCAATCTAATTTATTAAGCTAAATAAGTAATAAAATTTTATCTTTTAAATAATAACTTGGACGTTAAATCGCATAGCGTCAAATCTTTAAAAATTCATATCGTTTAAAGTAAAGTGTATCTAAGATTTAAGAATTACGTAACATAAAAAAAATTTATAAGTGTATTAAAAAGGTTATTTTAGATCCATATTTGGCACACGAATATCGATCAATTTCAAAATTATATTAACCGAAAATTTAACGTTAATGGAACATAATTATATTAAGAAATGCAAAAAGAAACCAACAATTGCTTACTCGGCACTCTTTAATAATTGCTTAAGAGAGGATATTCAAATTCCTCTATCTAAAACAAAAGCAAAGATGCTATATTTATACAAAAATTCTGGTTTAGAAAAGGAAAGGCGAGGCGCAGTAACAGATAAAATTTTTGTTATTCCTAGTCATTGTTTCTGATACGTAATATTGAATGAGATATTCAAAGTAAAAAATTTTGACGTAAGTCGTGTAAAAATAAATTGATATTAATTTGCACCAGCATTTGCTTATACTCATGATCGTTAGGATCTTCTAAAAAGTTATGATTGGGATAAGTTCCAACTTGAGAAATGCTAGTCGAACCATTATTAAAACAAGAATCCATAGAATCGACAGTAGAATCCTCAATTTTAAGAGATCCATTTGATGAGTTTTGAACATCGAACATAGTCTCAACATCTTTAGTTTGGGTACTATTGGCATAACCCAAATCTGTCGCAAAAATTTCACCTGTCACATGCAAAGGTGCAACCTGCCCGATTCCTTGGTCATTTTCAACTTCATTCATTCGTTTATCAAATATGATTTGAAAAGTGTTTTGCTTATACAAAAATCTAGCTTCCTTAGCTAGATTATTGTAAAAATTTTTTACATCTTGTGATTCTTTATCCCAAGAATTTTTTGCGATTATTGATAACTGACCCATTGGAGGTAATTTAATGATATTCTTATAATATTCCTTTTGTAATGCCATTCTATACGCGATAAAAGCGTTTGGGAGCGTTTTAATCTTACTGTTGTTGGATGCGTTGGATTTAATAGCATTCTTAATGAGTTCTTCTGTTGTCAAAGTAGGAGGGAAACTCGGCTTGAGTTCAACGAGAACAATATTAGAACTGATAATATTGGATTCTATATTCAACATGGGATCGTTATTTGAACCAATAATAAACGGTTTATTTCGTTTATTTTTTGTTTGCTTCAAATTTTTAGGCATGATTTTGATTTAATAAACAAAAGATAATTTACTGTATGATTGTTGATAGGTTTATTAATTTTTTTTAAAAAAAAAAATCTCTTGTTTTTAAAATCTGTGTTTATATATATAAAAAAGAAAGTCTGTCAGGTGGTAATTGTCGATCATTAGATAATTAAGTTTAATATGCGTAATATTTTTTTTTTTTTTTTTTTTTTTTTTTTTTTTTTTTTTTTTTATAAAGTGCGGTTGTTTCGCAATATCTTTATTATGATAAGAATAAAATGAAAATAAAAATAAACAAATTACAAATCAAGAAGAAATCATAAAATTCTCGTTAAGACTAATCTAGGATTAATAAAGAGAAGACCGACCCTTGCACTCCCCGAAATCAAACTTAACCTAAGCTAAGACTATCACTTTCCGGTAAGTTTACGATGAGTAATATACTCACTTGGTATTTTTTCCAAAATTCATCGTCGATCATTTTTTTTTGTCGATCAATCCGCAAATTTTTTTTGTCAAACATCCCAAAAGTAATTATTTTTTTTTAACGGCAATTATTGCCACATAACATGTTTATAAAAAACAAATAGCAAAAGGTTTGTCAGATTACACAGGGTTATACCATTTTATTTTTAAAAAATTCAGGCTGTTAGAATTAAACTATTTCACGAGGTCAGAAATCCTTATGATGCAATTCCGTTAGATTTAAGAGAAATTTTTTTTTATTTTTAGGATTTACCAATGAAGTCTTTATAATTTACAGACCAAAGGTATCTCTCATTTTCAAGAAAATTTTTTAGTCATTAAACCGGTGGTTCATTATCAACAAAACCTTCATATTATTTACGATAATTTAAACAAAATACTAATTTTACTGAAGAAATTGTGTATATAATATAAGAGACGTTAGAACTCAATATCTTCAACGTAAAATCATAGTAAAATTATGGGCCATTCATGAACGTGGTCCTTGTTGATGTGGTGGTTCATAATTTGATCCAGATAAAAAATACCAAGGAGTACAATGCGTTGAATAAAAGAATAAACAAGTTGAATTATGATCACCCTGTGTAAGAAAAAAAAGGTGCTGCCAACAAAATTCTACGATTGCGATCAACTTCGCAGCATTCTTTAATCAAATAAGCTTTCTCCCTTCCATCAAATCAACTATTGTTTATAATTTACATAATTTCAACCAACTTTCATTTAAATAGACTGCATCAACTCTGTATCAAGAATTTTTTTTTTTTGCTTCAATAAAATTTTAACTATACGAGTTAATATGTAAATTTATGTTAGGTTTGTTAGATTAAAAGGCATTTTTTATTTAGATAGTAATGGCACGGTGAAAAGTTTTTAACGGAGACTTCATTTATTTATTTGACAAAGGTAAAATTTTTGTTATAAATATTATTACTTTTTAGAGCCTGCCTATTTATATCCTATTGTAAGGCTATACAAAGAATATTCTTATAAATAACAAGAAAGATAAGCATTGTCAAAAGTTAAGAAGTGGTTAGGAACATAGAAATCCTAATATCTTAGTTTAATTTACCTGAAGATATTGGAATTTTAAATGTAAATCACTAACGAATTTTTATTTTATTTTATTATATTTTTTTTTTTAATTAAATAAGAAACTGAATTTGACAGCCGTTCTTTAAATTAATAAATAAAAGTTAATGGAAATTTTGATAATTTAGCATTAAAATTTTTAAGCGCAATTCAAAATTCACATAAATCTTGTCCACACATTTATACGTGATAATGTGGGATCTTTGCAATATGCAAACGTTATTGAATATTGGAATTACATAATTTAGCACTATTTGCAATAATTCAAAGGTTTTTGTAATAATCTAAGGTTCGCAAGAAAATGACAATTCATGGAACACTTGACTAGATGATTAAATAAGTTGAGATTAAGTGATTCAACAAATAGACATATGAACTTTATGGAGTTATCAAATGAACCATTATCCTTAAGGAGCAGCAACTACATTTTTCTTAGCGTTCACTTATGTAAAGTTCCATTGAATTTAAAAGTTTTTTAATGTCAATTGAACTAATATTAATATCAATTAATTTTTTTATTAGTCTATTAGCAATTAGAATGCATCTACATAAGTAATATTAAATTGAATAATTAATAAAAATAACTTATACGCTAATAAAATTTATTTTTTTTAAAATTAAAATAAAACATTTAATTACAATAACAAGTATATCTGATAATCAATAAAAATCCCATATTTTCATGTTTTTACACATTGAAATCAAAAAAAAAAAAAAAAATGAAAAAAAATGAAAGAATGAAAATGCATGCAACATAATGTAGGGCGCAACCTGAAAAAAAATGAAAAAATGAAACAGTTATGCATGTAGCATAATGAGATTTGTCACACTTTTTATGCGCCAACTAGAAAAAAAAAATTTAATATGGCAATTCCTAAATCATATAATTACTATCTTTCGCATCGTGTGTACGACGTAAAATTTAAAATATGTACATTATCGTTATTATTTTAGGTCTTAAAGTTCAATATGGTCATATTACGAAACGCGTGTAAAAAAAAAGTAATATAATCAAAAGGTCACATGAAAATTACAAACTTACATCATCGAAACAACATTAGAATAATCCGTAAAAAAATTAACAACTTATACTATGCGTGAAACCTACTTTAAATCCTTCAAACTTGATATTATTCGAAGCTTTTCCTGCAGTATACATTCGATCCTAAATACATCTAAATACTCATTAATAGTAAAATTAAATCCACCCATATATTTCTAAATTGTTAACACCAAAAAGCAAAAATATTTATCGTTTTGGTGGTTTCCATATAAAACTGGTTCAGAAATCATGCAGTAAGTGAGTCCAAATAATAAATAAAAAATGATTTACTGTGATATTATGATATTGAATTAAGGAACTTTCCACATCAAAAAAAAAAAAAAAAAAAAATTTTTTTTTTTAAAAAGAATTATTCGATATTTATGGGAGATAAGCTATTTAGAGTCACGTTACGGATCATATGATTTATTATTTAATAGCAAACCTCCCATATTTGAATACGAATTGTGCCAATGTCTTATTATGGTATCGTGAAAATGATTGTAAAGCGAAACTTTATTTAAATACTTTTTTCTTAACAGTGTCTGACGGTTTCAATAAAAGTAAAGTATAATAAAAATATGTTTAACCCAAGCAAAATTAGGAATAAGAAAGAAATAACTAGAATTTGCAAGATTAACTTGCTTAAAACAAGTTTATTTGACATTTGGACATTCTGTAATATTATGTATTATTTATTATCCTTATCCACATTTAAAATAATTTTTGTTCTTCGAAATTTGAATCATGCATCGAGTGACTGAAGGCATATATAATAATTATTATACTTTATAAACAATATGGGACCTTTGCAATAGAAAGGGGGGAAACAGCCGGAAAAAATCTATTTTACTTTTATATGCCAAATATGATTTTTAGATCAAAATATGTTCAGATTTAGCAATAACTCATTTTTTATTTTTTCCAGCCGTTTCCCCCTTTTCTATTGCATATTGTAGGTTTCAAAATAGTCCTAAAATTATCATTTTTGCGAATTATTTAGCCAACAAAATTCAAGACATGTGATAATAACTTTACTGCATGTCAATTCCAACGATTTTAAATTTCTTGGACTTTCCGAACTTTCCATTGCTTTTCACGAAGCTGAACTTTGTAAAGGCGCTTTTTTTTGAAATAAGAGGTATCGTGAAAATTATTTTAAACGGTCGTAATATAATGGGAAATTACTTGCAAAATACGAAAATTGATCAGTCCGAAATTTTGTAACTTATGTTTCAACTATCAGTTTTTGTTTTTTTAATATATAATATATCTTAAAAAATATTTTCATGATTTGATGAAATGAAAATAAACAAAGTAAACTTACGTTAAAATTTTAAAAATAGATAAAAGAAAGAAAAATAAAAAGCTACATTACGCAGTTCCTCGAATTCGATCAAAAATCATAAAAAAAAAAAAAATAATAATAGAAATAAAACGATAAAAAATAAATGAAAGAATAAAAAAATGAAAAATGTAAGAAAAAAATAATAAACCTAGAACATAAGCAAATTTTAAATTGGCAATAACAAGTCCTGTAAGGGAATAGGCCCCCACGTCAGCCTAAGCTGACTCCTTTTCCTTTTTTGTAAGGGTATGATATTTTAAGAGAATATTACGAGCACCATTTATGTCTCTATCAAGATTTATTTCACATCGGGGGCAGCAAAATTCCTTAGATCCACCTAATTTTTTATGAATGTAGCCACAGAATCCGTAAGTTTTGCTTGTGTATTCTTCTGTACAAATTACAACTTGACACCATGGATATTCACGTGACTTATGTACCAAATGCTGTCGGAAGCGATGATGTGACCATGTACACATGGCTTGAGCAGTCTTGGAACCAATGCGTCGTTGTCCACGTCGGATCATTCCTTGGGTGCGAAATTCAGGTAGTAGTATTATACGATAGTTTTCACAAAGCCATTTAGCCAGCTTATAATGAC